ATTATCTAATAAACTTTTTGATGTTTTCTATTTGAAATTTGTTGTATTCGTTAGATAGTTTGTTAAGTATAGTAAAAAATACAATTTACAAGCACATTAATTTATTTTTGTTTACTCTTACAATTCAATTTTTTTCTTCAATGCTTGTTATTAGAGACTCAATTTCTATGTTCATCCTTAGGCAACTAAAATCTAATCAACGGGCATGGAGGCAGAAGTGGGATTGGTGAAGATAAGGGTTTTGATCTTTATCAAACTTGATCGGGAGGCTATATAGTGTCTCATGGTGTTACTGTCAGGTGTAGAATTATTATGACTACTTGCAAGTTAGTAGATTAAGTAGATATGTTCAGCTCACAATAGATTTAGTTTTGATAAGTCATGTGAGCCTATAAAAAATTATGTCAAAAGGTCATGACTTTCGAGGTGTAAGGCTCATGAGGCTTTATGTCTAGAGATACTTTTCCTTAATTCAAACGAAGGTACGAAGTATAATCGGAGTCAATGATGGATCAAAGGATATTTTTAGAGTAGACACACATATGTTAACAACAAAAAAATTTTAAATGGAGTGACACAAATAAAATTCTAAGATATGCACTATAAGTATAAATTCGAAGAAAATTCAAATTTAAGATATACATTTTATCATCCTAGTTATTCTTTTGAAGTTACATAATAGTGAAGGAAAATTGGTAATTTTATTATCTTTGAACGGTAATTTTAAACAAATTAGCCTTGAGTAGAGTTAATCATGTCAATAGAATTCTTTGTATAACATTAAATATAGTATAAGTGTCGGTTTGGTTATTTTTACCGTATAAGAGGTACTTATTGTTTGTATTTTTTTGGATAAACAAAAACACACATTTATTTAAAAAAAATCTTGATTACTCAAACTAAAATTCAACAATTTACCAAGAAACCATTGATGCAAAATGTATAAAAAAAAGGTTATTCTAAAAAGCATGAGGGGATTCCAACATGAGCCACGCAATAGATTCTTAATATCTGAATTGGGTGGTATGAATCTCATGGCAAGTAAATTATATACACAATCTTGCCCCGATGGCCACCCCTTTTCTTTCGTTTAATTTGGTGGGAATGGTGAAAGAGATGCTTTGAAAGCTTTACATCGCTCAATTTCACGCTCACTAAGGGTTAGAGAGAAAAAAAAATATTTGTGAGCCAAGCAAGGAAAGTTAAACCCTGTCCACATTACACGACCGACAACAACATGAAGGCTCGTAAAATATGAAACACCCACGCAGGTCCACCACCACCACCATGTCGAGTATTTAAAAGCCTGACATGCTCATCTTCACGACCTCCAACGCAACTAGAATCTTTCTTTCTTTCACTCTTCACAATCTCAACCACTAGTTTCTTTGCTTGACCCACGAATTCCTTTTCCTCCTCCACCTTTGTCTTGGTCGATTCTGATACTAATTTTTTTTAGTAAACTACTTATTTTCTCACCTATTTATTATTTAGTTTTTATTTTAGTTATCTACCTATTTATTAATCATTAAAAATTATCTCACGCTCTACGTATATAGCTGCTCGAACTCAGGACATATAGAGAACACAATATTTTCTTTTACTATTAAGGTTGCTTGATAGGTTCTCAAAATCATACTTAACATTATGTTTTGGTCATCTACCGTTAAAAATTTAACAGTGATACTGACATGATATTTTTATTTATTTATTAATATTGATGTGGTATTCAGTGGCGGATCTAGAAATTAAAAAATAGGGGTCCAAAATTTTAATACCCTATTCTAAAAAAATTTGGGTATGCAAATTTTCTTATTTTTTTCTATTCCTATTAATAAATTAAACTAAATTTAACATTTTTCTCAAAATAATGGGTGTGCAATGGCTCCCCTAGGGAGCCATGTACATCCGCCCCTGGTGGTATTAACTTATAGTGGAAAGTCAATATCATTATTAATTTTTAACGACAGGTTATCAAAACATAATTTTAAGTATAATTTTGAAAAAAAATAATTAGATGACTAAATAGAAACTAAGTAGTAGGTGAGTGACAATAAATAATTTATCCTTTATTTTTTAAAAATATTTATCAATTTAGTCTTTATATGTGAAAATCTAATCAATTCATACCATTCAAGATTTAGAAGATTAGACTTTAGAGGTAGTGAAATAAGATGAGCCACACATTTTTCAAACTCGTTAAAAAAACTTAACGTGGATTAGACCTGGTCAGACGACTAACCAGAAAAGAGTAAATTAAAAGCCGAAATGGACAGTACAAACTAATATATGCTTGGGAACCTGAAGGTTTTTTAAATTAAATAGTGTTGTCGTGGAGTTGGAGAAGACGTATAGAAGATTTAATGTCTAAATAATTGATGATTCCGTATAATAAGGTATTTACTAACGGCCTAATTTGCGCCCATAATGGACTAAACAAGCCATGTTTTACTTGACTAGCCAAATATGTATCTAACAAGTTTTGTCACAACACGGTTTTGGGATAATAATTTTATTAATTAAAGTGAAATTTATACTTTAAAGAATTTAATCGGTTTAAATACAAAGTTAAGGACCCAATTGAATGGGAATTTAATTTATTAAGGATTAAATCAGAATGAATTTGAAGTATAGTTCCCAAATTACAAAGGTCAGGATTGAATTGAATGTGGGGTAAAATCTAAAATATGTTTTGAAAACCTTGAAATAGTTCATCTGTCGTTTCCCATAAATTCATCGTCGGTGGTCGCCGAGATTTTTTTAAAACCTTTATTGTTGATAATTTCTAAGCCTCATGCTCTGTCGTCGTTTTATCTTTAATCGAGTTGCTTCTGGTCTCAGATGACTCGCACTGTCATGCTCGTTTCAGATCAATCCTTAGATATGGGATTTGAGGTTAATATCCACGGTTCTCCCCAAAAACCCAAGAGACATCACTCTCACTGTCATCTCCTCCATCAAGTTGTCGCTCGAGGTGATCACGTATCATCGCTCCACTCTTAAGTAGATCGGAACCACTCTCATTCAAGCCAGCCTTACTTTGCATGTTCGACCCGAGTTATGCACGGGTATTATTAATTAAATGAGTAGTTTCTTCATTTAAGTATCGTGTTTCAGTGCTCATGTAGAGTTATGTTATCGTAGGTTTTCACATCACAAGACCTAGTATTGTCGATTGTGAAAAGGTTGTTGTTAGCCGATAATGTTAGTATATAGAGGTGTGTTCCTCGACTAGTGCTACACTTTATGCTTAAAGCAAAACTATGTGTGGTTTACGTTTCATAAACCGCATTGAGTGTGTGATGACATATGTATGTAATACTGATGTTTTATGATTTCTAATTGCGAGTATATTGTCTTTTCGTCTTACATTAGGTAAGTATGTTTAATTCCTGAATTATTTTACAACTATATGTGTCTCAAGCCTTATTATGTACTTGGGGTTTGTGATGATTTGATAAAAGATTATTTTTTTGAGTTCCAATTCGAAAGGTAATGTTCATACCCTATTTTCAATTTTGAGTTTCTCTTCGAAAAATAAAGTCTCTATCCCGTTTTTTATTTTGAATTCTTCATCAGAGGTTAACTTAGTCTCCTCTTTGGAGGGTTAGTTCACATTGAGTTTCTTGTTTTGAGTTATTTGGAGATTAACTCAGACTCCTCTTCAGAGGATTAGTCCACATCTTATTTCCTGTTTTGAGTTGCTCTTCGAAGGCTAATTCAACCTCCTTTTCGGAGGGTTAGTCTCCACCTTGTTTCCTCTTTTGTGTATCCTTCGGAGGTTCGAGGATTCTCTTTGGAGAGTAAGGTCGTCATCATGTATGATTATAAGGAGACGTAGATTTGACGATCAGAGGTTTAGAATTGATTTTATATTATAAGGTCTTCATGTATGTTGATTGAAATAATTTTGTTTTGTGATTGTAAGGTCTTCATCATGTATGTTGATTGAGATATTTATGTTTTTATGTCAATGTTTATTTGTACTTAGAGTACACACTACTCTCTATAGTTCACTCATTTTTATTCTTTTTTTTCAGATTATCCAAATATAGGACTAGTTTGACAATCAAATATTTGGTTTCGATTTTATATTATAAGGTGATTAAATATTAATTTAAACAATATTTAAATTATGACATGAATTTATTTTTATTATCTTATTTAATAATAATTTTAAGATTGATTCGTTAAATATGTGTTTCTTAATTTGATATTTATGATTCGATCGTTACTTTTAGACCGAATCTTGGGAGTTACAAGTTTTTTAGGCGAGTATGTACCAATTGCCATTGTAGTGGTTGTCCATAGATGACTAAAATCCCACCTAAGAAATCTCAGCACCAATCCGCCCCTCTAATTCCTTGTTTTATTTCGTTGAAATGGGTAAAGGCTGCTGATTTTAAAGTCAATCCACTTGGTCTTCCTAATATGTACTTTACTACCGTTGACAAAATTTCAAACAAACACAGCTATAGTTTACTGTATGTTATTGGTGCATTACTCTAGGGATGGCAGTATGACCCGAATCCACGGGGAAACCTGTAATCCGATCAAGTTCGGGTCGGGTCGGGTTGAATGATATCGGGTCGGATATCGGATATTTTTTCGGGGATTTTTTTCGGGTCGGGTTCGGGTTCGGGCAAGGTATCCCCGCCCCGATTATACATATATATAATATATTTTTTATATTAATTATATAAAATAGTTTTGGGTTCGGGTTTGTGTTTGGGTATAATATTTCGGGTCGGGTTCGGGGACGGGGTAAAAAAAATCCCCGACGGGACGCCCCGATAAAAAACCCGTCGGGGTCGGGGATTCATTTCGGGTTCGGGGACGGGGCGAGCAAAACCCACCCCGAACCCGACCCGTTGCCATTCCTAATTACTCCTAACCTAGAAAAAAAAGATTTCCCTAATCTGAAAAAGATGTAAGGTTTATCAAAATGTTAAATTAAAAAAACAAGGAAAAGAAAACAAAGAAGAAAATGGTATTTATACATTTAATAAACATTTGACAAGTTGCCCTTGAGCATGTGTCAAACAGAATACATTGGCATAAAACACATTGTGCTGATGAACATGGGAAATCAATCTGGAAGGTAATTCTTTCAAACAAGGAGAAAAGAAAATGAAAAAGTGTGAGCTCTGCGATTCTTTAGCAAAGATGTACTGTGAATCAGATCAAGCCATCTTGTGCTGGGATTGTGATTCCAGAGTTCATGGTGCCAATTTTCTTGTTGCTAAACATCTAAGAACTCTTCTCTGTCACCTCTGTCAATCTCCGACGCCCTGGAATGGCTCCGGAACGAAGCTCGGTCCAACTGTTTCCGTTTGCGAGAATTGTGTCGATCAAAATGATTCTAGAGAGGAGATGAACTACGAAGAAACACACGATGACGACGTCGATGACGGGGAGGAGGAGGGTAGTGAAGATGATGATGACGGAGATAGCGGTGATGATGAAGAAAATCAAGTCGTTCCGTTGTCATCTACAGCGCCACCGGTTTCCAGCTCTTCGACGAGTGAAGAATGTTCCGCCGGTTTCGCAACGAGACGGTAGTAGATCCCTCTTCTCGAGTAAGCTAATGTTTCTCTCTTGATCATCCAGGTTGCTCATATTGTCCGCAACATCATGAATTTGTCAAATGGCGATGACTTTATTTCATCCAAAAACCAGAAATAATAACACAACACTGTTTGATGTCTGCAAATGACAAAAGTTCCTTCTAAAGCAGACTTTTATGTTCCTTTTTTTTCTTGTTTAATTATCAGCTAATTGGTTTTTCACCATTGTATAGCTGCAAATGTTAAAGGAGGCCAGGAACATCTAATAAATTTTGTTTTTTTATCATACAAATATGTAAGAAAACAGCATTAACCTGAACATAGGATCAGATATTAGCATGAATTTCAGAGGTAAATTGCATTATATTATGACATTTTTGGCAGGGCTAAATTTTAGTATTTTAAGAAGATAGCACCAAATCTCCATAACGACAACATTTTCATTATCCTTTTTTTTCATTTCCGATACATTTTGAGTGGAATCATGACAGGCCAATTTCCCTTTAATTATTGGTATCTCTCAATATTTGAAGTGCCTCAGAATTTAATTATTTTATTATATAAAATGAGTATGACAAGTGGAATTAACCATTTACATGTGCAACAATAAAACCCAGAATTTCATTTCCATTCATATAACTTCACCTTCACCACAAGATTCACACAGACAAAACCGTTGAAAAAACCAAAGGTTGTATTCAATGTTTTGTTTTTGCATGCGCCACTGGTTTTGGGCAGTTCTGTGTATAAGTTGTTTTCTTAACAATTATTATATATTTTAATATACCCACCATCACATCGGCATCTGCAGACAAATTATTAACATTAATTAATTAGTATTTAGTACCAAATTATTAACAGAATAAAAAACGTTGCTTAATTACGTAATTTATTTAAGAAATCCTGATTACGCGCCATCGACCAACCACAGGAATCCTTTGATTCTTATGGTATTGAACATCCGAGTATGTTAGCTATATGTAAGATTAGAACTTAGAAGGATTAATTAAAAACCAAGGCATGAGTTTTGGAGAATGAAGGGAAAGCTTCCGATAGCTCACGTGCTTACCATAAAAATAATCATGAAAATTAGTATTCACGTTCCAGGTTGCTTAGTTAGTAGTCTAGTCGATTAAAGAACTAAGAAAACTTTACATTATTGTGAAAATAAAATAAAGAAAAAAACAAAGTGTAATACGTATGTGTTACATTTTATATTTTTTAACATTTCTATAAAAAAAATGAGGATAAACTACAAGATTGATCACTTTCGTTTAAGTTTTATATAATTTTTCTCATTGAATTCAAAAAATATAAGATTTGTGTAGATGCTCGGTTTCATCCTGTGACTTCGTTCGAGTTCTAGATCCAGTACAAGTTACAGTGTGGTTCAGTGAGAGCCCAAATGAGTCTAAACTAGTTGGAGGCCCATCTCAAGCCCAATGGACAGCAGCTGCATGCAGAAAAAAAAAGAGATTGACGTTGGTTTTTAGCAGTTAAAATAATCAGATAGTGAGGGATTAACTATTGAAAACTAAATGAGGGAATTAACCACGGGAATCTATCAACTAAGGAAGGGGAACACATAACAGAAGAGAGGACGGAGCCAAAGAAAAAAAAGGAAAGAAAAGAGGAACCAGTGGAGAGACATCAACAATTAACCGAGATAACCAAAAGAACCGGAGATTAAAGACCAGAAACAAAGAAAGCAACAGTTAGAGATTACCAATCAAAACTCTATTAGTCATCAACAATTCCACATTGTAGAGGAATACAAAGAGAGACAACAGTGTAACCTCATAATTCAAAACCAGAGAAAGCAATAAAATACGAGGAATTTCGAGGTACTTTTCTTGGGTGTCATTTTCGGTTTTTCTATATATATATTTCTTTTTTTTTTGTGTTCGTGTTATTTTACAATTAGAGGAAACTAAGCAATACCCTTTCAAAAAACAGAATCCATGTGAAGCAGTGCAAACATTAAAAGTTTCCAAAATTTCTTTATTTTCTTTTGAACCACAAGTAGTTTTCTTTGAAACCCAGGCAGTGATAGAGAAGATGAGTTAGTTTATATACCTTGCTCGGTCTCGTTTTTTACTCGTATCGGAGATACCTTAGGACAATTAGTTGGGCGTCGGCGAGCAGCTGTTTTCGTGGACCATTCGTAAGAGTAGAAGTGAGGTCTTGAGAATTTTAAAAATAGAATAAAAAGGAAAAGAGAACTTACCTTAACTTTAGAGCATCATGTCATCGTCGATGGGTTGAGGTTAGAGTTGAATGGGAGGCTCAGTTTTGAGTTCGACCGAAGAAGTGAAAAGTCGAGGAGAAGCCATGGGTTCTGTGAGAGGGAGTTTGAGTGTGAGGAGAGAGAGAGAGAGCTGGGTAATTGATATCAGGTTTAGTTTTTTTTACCCTACATATAAATTCATTAAAACAACAGTGTTTAGCCTTAATATGCGTGTAGTGAGTTGAATAATTACCTGTGAATTCCATTAACTTTGAACCTTTGTGTTAGATTATTTTAAATTTTCTTCACATATTATATATATATATATGTGTGTGTGTGTGTGTGTAAGTCTATATTTCATGAATGCGTGTTGTATGCATGGCTTTCTATATTCTACCTATATATGTGATGTATAATATAATATATATATATATATATATATATATATATATGTACTGACATGTAAGTAGTTATTTTGCATCTCGTGTATGTCATATGAGTATCTTTCATAATAGATAACAGTCATTTGTGCATAATGTGTTTATGTCCTCTAATTACATTGACTGATTTAATATGTGTAAAATATAGTGAATTTATTTGATTGTTAACACGTATATTTAATTACATGTATCTTTAATTTCTAATGTATGACATTTTTTGCACAATTTGCATGGTAACCTCATTTGCATAACTCGACATATTACATAATTGTATTAAGGGTAATACACTTTTAATTTAAAATTGTTTTAAGTGGGCTGTCATAACGCATTTGAGGTCCATTTTTAATGATTTTAAAATAAAAGTGTATCCCATTAGTGACGCCTAAAAATTGATCCATCACTTTAAAATTTGGGAATAGAAGAAATAGAAATTTTCGGCTATTTAAATTTATCGAGAAAAGGTTGTTATAGCTTTTAAGATCTGGTCTCGATATTTGTAAATAATCGAACATTCTTTATCTTTCTAAAATGACTTGATAATTTTAATTTAATTTATTTGGGTGCTTTTGAATGTTTTTAAATTTACATATTTGTTTTATGGGATCAAAAATCAAATTAAGTTCGAATTTGTAAAGTTCATTGCAAAGACGTTAATTAATCGACTAGGTACCAATTTAGGGCGTTGTGGTGGTGCTAATCCTTCCCCACACGTAACCGACTCCCGAACTCATTTTTTTGTAACGCAAACCTCAATTTGTTGTTTTAATTAAAATTAATTTTTATTTAAAATGACAAAGCGTTTTTGGGTGCCCAATCACACCCTAATCAAAGATTGGTGGCGACTCTTCAAACCGTATTTTTTTATCGTAAAGGAAATCTAAAAATTTTCGAAACGAGAGGTCTTTTAAATCGCATTTGTTTTTGAATTAAGAAGAGGATAATTAAGAATTAATGTGTTTTTCAAAATATCACTTTTTTCATTTTAAGAAAAAAATCGTTTCGACGGCTTGGCGACTCCGCTGGGGAAATTTTTAGAGAGTCAGGTCGATAGTCGATTAATTAATTGTCTTTGCAATTGAAAATTATAAATTCGTTTTAATTTGATTTTTGATCCCTTGTTTGGTTTTTAATAAGTTTTGTTTGCATTTTGATTTGTAATTTGATTAACCAATAAATAGTTGTACTGATCTGTTTGCTAATGGTTTCAGAATAATTGTTTGTTTTGAGAATTGATTTTGAGTGTTTCTATTGTGTGTGTTTTCGATTTTCCTCACACACTGAACAGTTGCATTTTCATGACATGAGCTAAAACCCTGCTCCGTCTTATTTAAGTAAGAGTGAGAGACTATGCCCTCGTGTGATTTTCACCTCCGCATGGAATAGTGGATCGCTCCTGGAGCTCACGCCTTATGGTCCTCGTGATGGTATTCACCTCCGCATGGACATAAGGAGGTGTGTTCCCTCGAAATTGAACTCGATCCCCTAAAGCCTATGATAGGACAGGATTGAGGGTTCGGTAGCCCAAGGGGACACCGACAAGGACAATTCGAGAACCTATTACTTTAGAACCGAACCCAGCATATAGTGAACATAGAGTCTGAACTTAAATTGAGCCAACCCCAAGCCTTAAGAATCCCGTGAGGAGTGTACACAAGGAAAAGCTTTTTTTGAGTCATTTATTTTCGTTTTTCGAATAAATACATGCGAACTAGATATCATGCGGTTAGGTTTATTTTTCAAACAAGCATGCGAATTAGATATCATGCGGTTAGGATTTCTTTTTGTGAATAACAAAGCATGGGGATAGATATCATGTTGGGTAGGATCTGATAAAACATGATTGGGTAGCCAGCATGTGGGTAGGATTCTTTAACAAATTATTATCCCTACTTAATTGCTTTATGTTTACTAACCGATCTTTTGTTGTCTTTGCCTTGTTTCTTTTTTGTTTGCATTGCACTATCCATTACATGGTGTTGATTTGGGATCGATGTCCATATAGAAGGCCAGTAATATGGAATGAATGGTTCACAAAGAGGTTGAGGACAATGCAGATGTTCTGAGATGGTCGGAACAGCCCCAACTGACCAACGAGGACAGTGTGATGCCTGGATACGTGTCGGAGTTATTTGGTTACACTCACATCAATGTACGTCAGAATGATCTGAGTGAGCTAAGAGAGGTATGGGAAGATGGGAAGCAGCCGATAAGGAGATGTTTTATCAGTTATACGGCGATATTCCTTATCTTCTGGATGTTCCTATTGACTGAAATCTGTTTAGAGCATTGGTGCAGTTCTGGAATCCGGCTTATAGCTGTTTCACATTTGGTAGGGTGGATCTGACACCAACAAAAGAGGAGTATCAAGCTTTTGTCCGTTGTTTGAGGTTCCAAATGGATAAAGTATATACCAAGCTGTCAATCACTCCTTCATTTAAGAAGAAATTACTATTGATGACCGAAATGAGTGAAGATTGGGTAGTTAGAAACATTAAGAAGAAGGGAGACAGTGAGTGCGTATCTTGGGTTGCTTTGAAAAATGTAATTGTTCATCACCCTGATAAGAGAAAGAAGCTTGA